TTTACCAACTGGATTATTGAGCATGCATCAGGATGTTTACCAACTGGCTTTTCTATGTGAATGTTCCTGTAAAGTGCTGACACAAGTTTGGTGTGAATTGGCACTTTATAAATAAACTGAACTGAATTGAATCGGTGCTTTGACAGATTAATCTTCAGCCACTCCGTACGTTTGAGGAAATTATATTTTTAACAAATAAAAACTAGTAGGCCTATCGTTTCCTCAAATGATCTGGGTTTACATGTAAGGCAGTGGCCATCTTGGATTTTGACATGACAAGCCCTAGTCTGTCATTTACTTCTTCTCTTTATCCAACATGTTTCAGTCAGGTCATCTGGACACTTTCTTTTGTTGCTGAAACGTTCCGCCTTCGATACGGAGTAAACTGCTGGGGGAAGAATCCGTTTTGTTGTGTGTTTCCTTGACTGATGAAGCCTTCTGGATGGAAGGTGAAACATTTCAGCACCAAAAAAAGAAACTGTCCAGATGACCTGACTGAAAAAAGTTGGATTATACACCTGGATTATTGAGCATGGACTGTGTTCTTATCTTTATCTATTTAGATCCATGTATTTTAACATGTGTCCTTCACTTGATTTGTTTTTGCTGCACAGCACTCTATCTGTCTGTCTGTCTGTCTGTCTGTTTGTCTATCTGTCTGTCTGTCTGTCTGTCTGTCTGTTTGTCTATCTGTCTGTCTGTCTGTCTGTCTGTCTATCTATCTATCTATCTATCTATCTATCTATCTATCTATCTATCTATCTATCTATCTATCTATCTATCTATCTATCTGTCTGTCTATCTGTCTGTCTGTCTGTCTGTCTGTCTGTCTGTCTGTCTGTCTGTCTGTCTGTCTGTCTGTGTCTGTCTGTCTGTCCGTCCGTCTGTACGTACGTACGTACGTACACACACAGCAAATTGGAAGTCAGTATTTTACTTATTTTTCAAGTTATCCTGCTCACGAGACAGACGGAGGGTATTTCCATTTCCGGTCTTTATGTTCTTGTCCCTCAGTGACGAGGGACAAGAACAACAGAAGGTTATTTCTTATCTCCCATTTGAAAGTAGAATGACGTTAATCATTTGTTGGTAGTGATAGTGAAACTTACAGATGGTGCTGATGATGCTGCCGTATTTGTAGCGAGTCCCATACAAGGAGGCCAGGTCAGTGACGGCCTTTTGGGCCAGTTGATGCTGCAGAAAGATGAGACACTGACTGATGTGCTTGTACTTCTCACATTCTTTCTTTCTACTAGTAAATGTTCAACTTTTACTGGACCTAAAAGATTGCCATGAAAACCTCTTTATATTGCTGTTACATATCACTGCACGTTTAGCACCAAAGATAAAGCTTTTCAGGTTCAACCTGTTTTGAAGCCAACACAAGATCTATAAGTCTTATTCAGAACTACACTAGTAAAGATGAAATAAAATCTGTTACAGAGGTCTTTATGTACCAGCTCAGCCTGGTCCTTGACAGGCGTCCTTGTGTAACCGTAGGGGTACATGAGCATCTGAGAATAGGAATGGATGGAGACGAAGGCCTTGATGTTGCCGTGGGATTTCACAAAGTCCACAATGGCCTTGACCTCAGGTTCGGAGTGAGCCTTGGGTCCGCGGTAGGTCTCTGAGCAGGGGCTGCTGCTGGCACCAGGCCCTGCCAATACATAAACAGAGAAATTGAAGCAACTCTTTACAGACACAAAACTAAATCACTTCCCTATGAAATGTATTATTTACTGATTTACATGATACAAGAATTCCCCTTCAGTGTTTAAAATAAACTGAACATGACTAGTGGTGTTTGTAGTTTATCTTAACTAACAGCAGTTTATTCACATTTTATCAGATTATCAGCAGGTTTTGAAGGGAAATCAGTCAAACAGATAATCAGTGTGGAGCCGTTTTAAAACACACGCTTCTCCAACATGTCACTGTTCATGCAAACATTGTCTTATAAATCTTTACACGGCAGTTACTTCTGCAGTAGGCAGTTAAAGGACTGTATGCCAAACACTGAGATGATCAGTCGGGATGAGATGATCATGGAGATTATCATTTCCTGGGGGTCCTCCCCCAGAAATGTTTGAATAAAATAACCATTTCCTGCATTCTGGTGCATTTTAACTGGTTGTTAAACATTTTCCTACAGAAGTAAACACTTGATTCAATAACTATTTTAGAGCGCAACAAGAAGTAGCCTGACCAACAGCTCTCCTTGTATGAATAGAGCACACTCCGCTTCTCTCACGCATCCTAACCCCCCCCCCCCCCCCGGTCAACAGCTGCTAGCGTTAACACAGCGCTAAGTTAGTGCACAACACAGATGTGTCTCCTGCTCCTCCCCCTGCCCCATCGACAAAAAAGCCCCTCAGAGATGAGTGTCATGCCAAGACAGATGACCTCTGGGAAATATTGCATGGAGTTGCTGTAGGTAACCAGGAAAACCTGGAGTAGACTTTCAGTGGTTTGAGCATTTTCCTATTAATCAAGTGGAACGGATTTATTCATGAAGACATAAAAACAGCGCTGGATGAACTATTATTTAATTTCCCTTGCTATTCATTATGTTTTGTTGTTTTACAACATGGAATTTGATTTTTTTTTTCTTCATTTGGTTAAAGCTCATACAAAATACTGAATCACAGAAGAATCCAAGAGGCCAAAGACAACATTGATGTAGCTGAGCAGATTTTCTGCAGAGATGGGAGGGTCTGTCTACAGGACCATTAAAAGCAGCAAAGAGCTGGACTTCTTGGAAGAGTGGCCAAGAAAAAAACATTAGTTTTAAAAAAAACAAACATAAATAACGAGTAAGGAAGACCAGTTCAATCTTTTCAGAAGTCCCATTGGAGGAGACCCTCTGAGCATGTGTAAAAGGTGCTGTGGTCGAATGAGACTAAACGTGAACATTTTGAACATCCATGTCTGCCTCAGACCTACCAACTATTCTAAACTGAAAATACCCTTCTTTTAGTGAAGCATGGTGGTGGCAGGATCATGATGTGGGGATGTTTTTCTCCATCAGAGATTAGAACGCTGGGCAACATTAAAGACGAGATGGATAGTGGAAAGTTCAAAGAAATTCTTGAGAGGACCCTGTCAGAGTCTTTCAGAAGACTCTGACAAAACGCCTCAGTCCAGGACTGAGACATGTTCTGGTCGTCACTCTGGGTCTTCTGAATGGACAGAGGTGGTGAGGGGGGTCGAAGACAGCCCACCTCTGGAGTGCCTCTGTACTGCTGTGGGAGGTAGTAACAGTGCTGGGCCAGGTGACGTGAAAAAGTAACCTGCAGTGCTGCGGCTCAGTAATGTGATGAACCACTGGCGACCGCCGTTCGCAGGATAATCAAGTTTGTTACTGGGAGAATATTGATGATGATGCACTGGAAGTTTGTATTTAGTTTAAAAACCACAAAGAAGTTCTGTAAAGGAAATTCATTCCTTATGTTTAAATGACCCGAGGGAGACGTCCAACACACATTGAATGCATCACGCTCTACAACAACACAGCTGAGTTAGGTTCCACATGGCCGGCTTCATTTTTGAAAGGTTCCTTCTGTGCAGGAAGAGGCCGGCTTCATCTGTAATTTATGAACGGCCAGAGGTAGCAGGATAAAGACCAACTGATATTTGCATCTTTATAATAATAATCATTTATAATTATACTGTACAGTACATGTGTATCACTGCTTTTTGGTTTTATATTTTAAAATAATTTAAAGTATTTTTTTTTCAATTTACCTTTTTTAATCTTAAGAATTATGACTGAAAATTAAATCAAAATCCAATTAAGTTCTTGTAAGACATTAAAATTAACAGATTATCAAGGTATGACGGGGACACCTTTGTAACCCACTGTACCTCAGTAAATGAAAAACCATTTAGAAATGCAAATATGCATTTAGTTTAAACTAGATAACAAAGATAAACAAACTACTTTAATTCTGATCTTGTTCTTTTCACTAGACTCAAACAACAGATAGTCTTCATTTTAATAATCTGGATTAATATTTGCAATGGCTATAGAGAGTTTGAAACATGGATAAATAATGGGAATGTGAGCATAAAGAAAATGTTTACCTCCAAAACCAGCGTCCCAGTTTCTGTTGGGATCAACTCCGATGCAGGAAGAACCAGAGTTTGGTTTTCTTGTCTTTCTCCACATACGGTTCTGAAAACATCAAGATGTTCCTAGCTTTAGGATTATTACTGTTTCTAAAGTAAAAACAACACTGGCAGGGGATAAATGGTTAACTGACTCACAGAGTTGTGTGTGAAGTAATATCCATCAGGGTTGGTCACAATTTCCAGGAAGATGTCCATGTTGTTGAGGATGGCAGTAAGAACAGGGTCACGTCCGTACTCCTTCACTATCTACATGGTTTACAGCATGTTAGTGCTCAGAGGCAGCAGAGACAGAGATGTCAAATCTTACAAATGAATGTACCTTCTTGGCAAACCAGATGCCGCTGGCCTGAGTGACCCACTCTCTGGAGTGGATTCCAGTGTCGATCCAGATGGCAGGACGGTTGCTTCCCCCAGTGCTGAACTGGGCAAACAAAGGGAGTAGAGTGATCACCTGACTGTGTTTCACAGAAAAGGAAATAGAAACATTTTGTAGAAATTTTGACTGTTGTTGATGCTGATACTGCGCAAAATTTCCATTTTCTTCAACTTGTCTTATTCTTCAACAATCTTAGTTATAAAAATAAAGCTAGACTCATAATTTTCCAAACTGTACAGAATAACAGCGATAATTTTATTTCTTTATTTCTTTATGTATTTTTGATCCTGGTGAGGGAGGGAGCATTTCTATCCACCACCAGGAACAATGGAGGAGCCAGGGGGTGGCCAGTGGTGGCTAAAGCCACCATAGATTAATGTCTTACCACCCCACTGGCCACCTCAATCATTTGAAGAAACTACTATAGCCATCTTGGATTTTGAAGTGGCAACCTAATTTTTGATAATGAATTTTATCACACCTAGATGCAGCCACATCCCAAAATGGAAGTCAGTACTTCCCTTAGTTTGCAAGTTATCCAGCTCACGACATGCACAGATGGACAGACAGATGAGCGGAGGGTATTTCCAATTCCCACTTCTTTTGACGAGGCTATGAGCTTTTTTTTATAATCCAGCTCAAAATCTTTTACATTTTGCCCTTTAGTACTTTTTCTTTGATTGCTAAACTCGTAAAAGGTCTTATTCAGTTTTCCTTAAGCTAATTTCTAATGACTAAATTGCTCAAAGTATGCAGAGTATGAATAGAAGGACCTTCTGAACACCAAAAGATACAGTGCTGGAGATATACTAGATGTAATTGGGATGGGAAACCCATAATCCAGATAGACCCAGAAACAATTTCAGACCCATCCATCCATCCATCCATCCATCCATCCATCCATCCATCCATCCATCCATCCATCCATCCATCCATCCATCCATCCATCCATCCATCCATCCATCCATCCATCCATCCATCCATCCATTATCTTCCGCTTGATTTGAAGTCGGGTTGCGGGAGCAACAGCTTGAGCAGGGAAGCCCAGACATCTCTCTCCACAGCATCTTTTGAAGCTCTTGACCTTGACCTTCTAAGTGGCTTTAAAAATCTGTTGGACTCCTGGCAAGGCCCAATGCAGACATGTTCCTGTTTATAGTTTTCTACATTCGCCTTAGAATCTAGCTGTTTTTTGTTACTTTTCTTTTTTTTTAGCCATCCTATTTGTTAAAAAAAAAAAATCTGTATGACTTTTTATAACTGTTTATTGTTGCCACTGTTGTCCATTGTTGTCATCTTTCTTTGTTGAAATCAGATTTCTCTTGTAAATGAGTGCTCGAGGCTCAATGGGATTTACCTGCAGAAATAAAGGTTGAATGAATCTCTTCCAGCTCTTCTGGGAGGAGTCCAAGGTGTTCCCAGGCCAACCAAGAGACATAGTCTCTCCAGCGTGTCCTGGGTCTTCCACAGGGTCTCCTCCCAGTCAGACATGCCCGAAGCACCTCTCTAGGGAGGCGTGATAGGGAGTATCCTTACCAGATGCCTGAACCACCTCAACTGTCTCCTCTCGATGTGGAGGAGCAGTGGTTCTACTCTGAGTCTCTCCTGATAACCGAACTTCTCACCCTGTCTCTAAGGGAGAGTCCAGCTACCCTGCAGAGGAAACTCATTTCAACCTCCTGTATCTGCTATCATTCTTTCAGTCACTACCCAGAGCTCATGACCATAGGTGAGGGTAGGAACGTAGACCGGCTGGTAAACAGAGAGTTTTACCTTGCAGCTCAGCTCTCTTTTCACCACAATGGACAGGTACAGAGTCCACAATACTGCAGATGCTGCACCAATCCGTCTGTCAATCTCACGCTCAATTCTTCCCTCACTCATGAACAAAACCCTGAGATACTTGAACTCCTCCACTTGAGGCAGAACCTCACCCTCGATCTGGAGAGAGCAATCCACCCTTTTCTGGTTGAGGACCATGACCTCAGATTTGCAGGTGCTGATTCTCATCCCAGCTGCTTCACACTCGGCTGTGAACCACTCCAGTGAGAACTAAAGATCACGGCACGATGACGCCAAAAGGACCACATCATCTGCAAAGAGCAGAGATGGAATCCTGAGGCCACCAAACCGGAAACCCTCCACCCACTGGCTGCATCGAGAAATTTCAGACCCAGTGTTCTAAAATTCCAGCAAGGAATCTGACATCATACCTAAAGATTGATGAGGTACAACAAAGATGTCACAGTAAGGCAGAGCTAGGAAGGCAGGTTAGGGAGGATATACCATCATCCCCACCATCAGAGTATGAATAGCAGCCCCATTGACACCCCCAAGGAACTAAATACAAGGACAGCTGACCTGAGAATGAAGATAGTGACCAAGCTAGGCAACAATAACCTGTACCAATTGTCAAGGCTAAGTGACAAAGTACCTTATGAATGTTTGCTAGAAGAAGTGATTGAAGCATTGCTAAGTATCCTTACTGACACAGCACAGAGACCAATAAGCTGGTCTACACAACAGCCACAGTGATCCTTGACTTGCTTGACTATAAGATTAAGCCGCTCAGTAATGAGCATTGCCCACTGTGGAGAAGAAGGCTGGAAGCTTAGATCAAGGCAACACAGAGAGAAGTCAGCTAGCTGTAAGAACAACAGCAAAGTGCCATGAAAAAAGAGCCACCACAAAAGTATTGCAACTTATTCTTACCTGTGGCTCTAAAAACTGTCAAATAATGCCTCAAATGTCTGGCTACTCACCTAAAGAGGTACACTCATAAATCAAAAGCTAAGAGAATAAACAAGGTATTCTCCACCACTCCAACTAGAGAGTACTCTCAATGGCAGGTGAATAACATGAAAGTAGATCTAACTAGAGCTGAGACTGAGCAATACTGGAGAATCATATGAAAGAACACAATAAAGACATCACAATAAAGATGCCCCATGGCTACACGGTCTAAGATCTTGACACAGTAATCTCCCAGAACAAGAACCAGTGTTCATTACAGTGGCAGGCATCCAGGACAGAGTCTCGGGAATGAAGAGCTGGACTGCACCTGAACCTGACATGAACCCCACCTACTGGATAAAAACACTGACTGCTCTCCATAAATGCCTAGCAGCACAAATTAACATGTTGCTAATGGAAGGGTCCCACCCAGAGTGGTTGACCCAAGGCCAGCCAGTCTTGATCATGAAAGACCCCCCATAAAGGGGCAATCCCTTCCAATTACTGTCCAATCACCTACCTATGTACAACATTGAAGCTCCTATCAAGCATCATAACAGCTAAAATAAATATGTGAATAATATATTGTGTGCAATACATTAATATGTGTAATATTTTGGGGGAGTGGTGGCGCAGAGGATAGAGAAGATGGGTCTGTGATCAGAAAGTTGCAGGTTCAACTCCCAATACTATCAACATCAAAATGTGGGTGGAAAAAATGAAACACCCACACCTGCCTCCACCCTCATTTGCCCCACTATGTGCCCCTGAGCAAGGCCCTTAAACTCCACCATTTGCTCCCAAAAACAGGTCTTTCTTGAAAATGAATTCTTGTGACTCAACGAGACTACCTGTATAAATAAAGGGTAAATGAAAAAATAAATGTGCATGGGTCAGTACCTGAGCGAGGCACAGAAAGGAATTGGCACCAACACCAGGGGATCCAATCACCAGCTACTGATCGACAGAACTGTAGCTTGAGACTGTAAGTCCAGATACACAAACCTGTGCACTGCCTGGTTTGACTACAGGAAAGCCTATGACTCATGGCCACATAAATGGATACTGGAGTGCTTGAATTTTTACATCATTATTAGGACACTAAGAGCCTTCATCAAGAACTCAAGAGAAAGGAGCCAGGCAGAAGACTAGTGAGCATCTGAGCCTCTATACAGAATGAAACAACTAAGATCCTGGAGTACATCAGGAGAAAATCCCCTAATGATGAACTGATGAGTGAATTCGTCAGGCAGCAGCAGAATCCCAATGCGGAAAAGGGGAAACAAGAGGAGCTGTCATGGGAAAATAAGCCCCTGCACGGCATGTACCACTGGTAACTTGAGGAAGTGGCTGATGTCATCAAATCCTACCAATGTCTAGAGAGGGCTTGACTGACAGACAGCCCAGTGGCACTAATCATGACAGCATTTGGACAAGTCCTCAGCACAAGAGCAATAGAGTCTACCATACCAGACAAGACACAAGATGCAGGCTGTGAAAATATGCCCTTGAGACAGTCCAACAAAGAATAGCAGGGTATAATAAGATGAATAAGATTCAGGTAGGCAAAATGTACATGGAACACCATAACCAAGTAGATGGATTAATATGCAGAAACATCTGTACTGACTACGGACTGGAGGTCCCATAGTCAAAGTGGAAGATGCCACCAAGGGTGGTGAAGAATGGAAGAGCTAAGATAGTGTGGGACTTCTAGATCCAGACTGACAAACAGGTGATGACTAATTAACCAAACATTGTGGTCATCAACAAGCAAGAGAAGAAGGCAGTGGTGATAGATAGCAATCTGAAGTGACTATAGCATCAGGAAGGAGCACAAGATGCTGAAGAAGAAGTAGTGGAAGGTCAAAGTGTTAGTAGTTCCAGTGGTCATTGGAGCACTTGGTGTTGTGACCCCCAAACTGGAAGAGTGACTCGAACAGATCCCAGGAACAACTTCAGAGATCTCTGTCCAGAAGAGCGCAGTCCTAGGAACAGCTAAGATATTGTGCAAAACCTTCACACTCCCAAGCCTCTGGCATAGAACCCGAGTTAATGCAGACATGTTCTTGTTTTTAGTTTTCTACATTCGCCTCATAATCGAGCTGTTTTTCTTACTTTTTTTGCCATCCTATTTGTAAAAAATAATAATAATAATAATCTGTATGCCTTTTTATATTTGTCCATTGTTGTCATCATTCTTTGTTAAATCAGGTCTCTTGTAAATGAGTCCTCGAGGCTCAATGGGATTAACCTGTAGAAATAAAGGTTGAATGAAAAAAAGAAAACTATTCTTTCAGGTTTTTATATTGCTTAAAATCATAGTTTGCTCAAATAAGTGCAGTGGCTGGAGTTTAAAATATGGTGGCCAAGACCATCATTGGCCACCCCCTTGTTCGTCCATTAAACTTTGTGCTTGTGGTGGGTTAAATTCCTCCCACCGCTCTGCGCTGCCTCAGACATGCAAATAAATAAATAAACTACCAGCACCTCTGTTCTTCTACACAGTGTAACTCCTACACACTTTAATGTTTTGCAAAAAAACATTAAGCTTTACTCGTATTCTCTATTCAATTTCAGTCCAGAAAAATATTAATCTCAAAACTAGAAACATTCATTATTTAAATATTTTAGTGATGGGGACATACCGGTAACAGTGTTGCTTGTTATTTCACTAGATGTGATAGTATTCATATATTTAATACTAAATATTTTGGGGGATTTTCAGTTTTCTTACTTTTAGCACATTCAACGGACGGCCTTCGTAGCTCTGGCCAATCACAATCTTGCTGACCAAGTTGGGATTTTCAGCCACCAGCATGTCCTGGAAACTGTAGATCTGAAGCAAAGACAAACCTCCTGCTATGAATGCATTCCCATCACAATAGAATGCACATTGTCTGAGCCTGATGTTAATTCTTCTGTCTTTGTGCAGCCAGATAAATGTGAGCACTGACCTCATTGATGGGGTGGTACCTGGAGTAGTCAAAGCTGTCAGTATTCCTCGGCTCAGCAGCACGTGCCCCAGAGTCCATCTCTTCCTGCTCTGCATCCAAGATTTCCTAAGGAACAATAATATTATTCATATTTGAAGAACATCAAAAAATTACTGTGTTATCCATCCATCCATCCATCCATCCATCCACCCATCTTATACCAGTTATCCATAATCAGATAGCAGAGGCAATGGAGAAACCCAGACATCCCTCTCCCCAATGACACTTTCCAGCTTGTTCTGGGGGACCCCAAGATGTTCCCAGGCCAGAGACGATACACCACCCTCCAGCAACTTCTGGCTCTTCTCCTGGGCCTCATACCAGTGAGACATACCCAGAATGCCTCTAAAGGGAGGCGTCCAGGAGGCATTCTAATCAGATGCCTGAACCACCTCAACTGACTCCTTGTGATGCAGAGGAGCAGCGACTGTATTCCTAGCTCCCTCCAGATGATGGAGCTTATCACCCTATCTCTGAGTCCGGTCACAGTATGAAGGAAGCCCATTTTGGCCGCTTGTATCCCGGATCTCATTCTTTAAGCAAAGGTCCCTCCCCCTTCCCCCGACCTGGAGGGGTCATTCCACTTATTTCCAGTCTAGAATCATGGCCTCGGACTTGGAGGAACTGACTCTCATTTCAGTTGCTTCACACTCAGCTGTGATCTGTCCCAGTGCATGCTGAAGTTCCTGGTCTGAATACACTAGCAGAACCACATTATTCGTATAAAGTAGAGATGAGACCCCGAGGCTCCTAAATCAGACACCCTCCTCTCCACAATTGTGCCTTGAGATTCTGTCCATGAACACCACAAACAGGATCGGAGACAAGGGACAGCCCTGGTGAAGTCCAACCCACATTGAGAACAAGCTCGACTTTGAGCCAAGAATGTGGATATAGCTCCTGCTTTGGTTATACAGGGACTGGATAGCTATTAAAAGCAACCCAGGCACCCCATACTCCAGCAGCACCCTTCACAGAATGCCTCGAGGACATAGTCATAAGTTTTCTCCATATCCACAAAATCCATGTAGCTCCCATGACTCTCTTAGTAACTCCGCAAGGTAAAGATCTGGTCCACTGTTCCACAACCAAGATGGAAGCCACACTGTTCCTCCTGAATCCTAGGTTTGACATTGAGTTAGAGCAAGGGTTGTAAGTGCAATAATGCAGGTAGATAACAACAAAAAATATTAAATTGTGTCATCTGGACCAGTTTCTTTAAGTGAGAAACGTTTGGTTAGAGCCTCCCTTCCAATAACCTGAAGTAAATTTTCCTGGGGAGGGCAAGAAGTGTGATCCCATGATAACTGGAAAACAGTCTCTGGTCTCCCTTTTTAAAAATGGGCATTGCCACCCTGCTCTGCCACTCCACAGGTGTTGTCCCAGTCCTGCATGTGAAATTGAAGAGACGTGTCAACCCTGACAGCCCCACAACATCCGGAGCCTTCAGCATCTCAAGACGAATCTCATTCATCCATGGTGCACTGTCACCAAGAAGCATTTTGACTACCTCAGTGAATCTCAGCCATGGTAATGGACTTCTCTCCCCCTAAGTCCTCAGATTGTCTCCTCAAAGGTGGACATGGTGGATGTTTTAAGGAGATCCTTGAAGTGCTCCTTCCACCGGTTAACAATATTTTCAGTTCAGTTCAGGGATTCCCCACCCAAGCTGAGCACAGCCTGGGATAGTGTCCACTTTTCTTTCTTGAGTAACCGAACTAGTGACCTAACTATTGTGTTAGAAAAATAAATCCAAGGCTGGTGTCAGTTTACCTGCAGGTTCTCAATCATGGTGGAGTACTTGATGTTCAGGTTCTCCAAGTAACTCTTGAAAGACTGCAAGTTATGAGAGGGGACCCGGACATCCACAGGAGCAAAAACATCGGTCACACCCATCCAGATGTCCAACTGAAAACACATCAACAAAATATACATAATATAGTTTGTTTCATAATAATCATAAAAAGATTTAATGCTAATATTAGTTTGCATTAAGAAACCTCAAACTCTATCAGTTTCTCCAGATCCTTGATAAGAGACAGTTGGATGTCATTCTTCGGGACAATCCGTAGCACTTGATGTCTGCAAAATGAGAACAGGGCAACAAGGTTTGTCTTTAATTCATTGCTAAAGTTCGATCATAAGTTTAGACAATGAACTTAGCTTTTACTAACAAGCAGGCATCTGATGGTATAAAGACTGGAAGATCTGATCGATCTCAAGCTCTCGACCTTTGACCTCTCTAAGTGTCTTTAAGAATCTGTTGGACTCCTGGCAGGGACCAATGCAGGCATGTTCCTGTTTTTAGTTTTCTACATTCACCTTAGAATCTAGCTGTTTTTTGTTACTTTTCTTTTTTTAGCCGTCCTATTTGTTTAAAAAAAATCTGTTTGCCTTTTTACAACTGTCTATTGTTGCTGTTGTTTGTTGTTGTCGTCATTCTTTCTCTCTCTTGTAAATGAGTCCTCGAGGCTCAGTGGGATTTACCTGTAGAAATAATTCAATTCAATTCAATTCAAAAATACTTTATTAATAAATCAAATAAATAAAGGTTGAATGATGGATATAATCAAAATAGAGATATCACTTTAGACTGTATAATGTACATATAATGCAAACGGTAGGTGTGCTTCCAGTGTTTGCCATCTTGTCCACTTGTGTGTTTTCCTTCAGCTGCTTCATTCGTCTGAGGGTGCCACAGAGAGCAAACTCGCATTTAAGATTAGACAATGTTTTCACACAGGATGCCGTTCTTGACACAACCTGGGCTTGAACCCACAACCTCAGGACTACAAACCTGCAGCGCTGACAGACCAAGCTTTTCAACTGGTAGGACATCAAATTAGCATTGCTGGGAGCAATAACCATTAACATCCAGCCAGAGTTGTGAAGCGATGTCATCCATGTGCTCTAGCTCAATTTGAACTTCTGCTAAATTCCATTTTTGTAACTTTGGTCACATCGTACTTGCAAATTTTAATGATAAAAAGTTGTCTGCTGTAGGTTCCTTCATACGTAACGCGAATGGAGAGACACTTGAAGTGGTGGATCACTTTAAGCATCAAGGTGTTGTCTTTGACTAAAATTGTACATTTAGGCAACGTATTTAGAAGACTACAAATGTATTAAAACTGAACTTGTAAAATTTTCATCACATTAGATTTTTTCTTACTTTACAGGCGGCTATAAATTCTAAACATACAGTGTTGTTTTAAAGAGTACTACAAAGTAGGGCTTAGAAGACATTTTTAAAATGCTGTTCAGTTCTACGAAGCTCCTAAAATAAAATAAATGACGAATAGCTTCAAAAACACAAGTTGGTCAAGATGAATTTTTTGTGCATTTCCTCCGAGCAGCCGCAGCTTCAACACACTTGCACTGTTAAGAAGCTGTGCACATTAATTCATTATGCACAGTCCATTAAAACACAGCTTGATCCTGCGCAGAGTTACAGGGAGGTGGTGTTCATAATAAGTGTATATGATGAGCTCAAGGGTACTAAATGGTAACTGTTTTGTACCCTGTTAGTTTTAAAAGTCAGGCGCTAATTATGAGGTGTATGTAGGATTCTGAATTGACCAGCACCGTCCTCCATGCCAAAGAGAAGACAGTCCTGCAAGAAGACGTATGTCCCTGGACTTGTAGCTCAGTCAGTCAGTGTGAGGTCAGACAAATCTAATAAACTACATATAGTAGATTCTTTATAATGTCGTGACTAATGGACATTCCTGAGAAATCAACAGTGGTATTCCCCAAGGGACTATGTTAGGCCCACTGATTCATTATGAGCTACCATGGATGTTGCAAAGTTTTAACAATAATGTAAAATAATGTTGTAATGACAGTGCTAACACCCACATTTCTAACAACTCAAAACACAGAGAAAAATCACTTTAACTCTGCCAAAACTTTAAAAATCTAGAGACAGCTTTTCTTTGACACCATTACAATCCCATATAAGACAAGCTTCTCTCAGCTAGTATTAAATTTGATCTCACAATCAAAGTTTTATGGTAAAAAGGTCAGGATAAAAATGATATATGTGTAAAAAATGGTAAAAAGCTTTATTGTTGTTTTGGCTTGTTACAATGTGAAGGAGCCAACAGTTTTTTTATCATCGTGTCTGAGAAACTCCATGTTTTGCTTTTGTACAGGTACATCCATTTATCTCCACTTTCAAAATCTCTTCATCTTAGTTGAGGTTTTTTATTTATTTATTTTTTAGAAAAACATGTTTTTTATGTGGACAAGTGCAAACACAACAGAAAATCTTCTTCTTTGAATACATCTAGTTTAGAGTGGGTTGGGCGTTATTGGTTTATTGTCTGATTATTGAGCCAATTACTGATTTAATTCTTTTGTTATTACTTCCTGAGTAATATTGTCACATTTAATATAATTTATATAGCATTTTAAAAACAATAATATCTGTCCCAAAATGCATTTGTTCCAACTTTGTAGCATTTTTCTATTTTGCACCAGTTGTGCCGTTTTGTTTCACACCTGGGATTAGATAAAAACTAAAATAAAATCATGGCTTTACTTTTATAAGGAGCTTCCTTATCTTTTGAAGACATGTAGAAGTCACAGCATTGAGTGGTTGTAACACTTCACTTACCCCTCGAACGTCTCCTTGGCGAGAACGGACACAAAAAGAGCGGTGAACGCGAGCAGCCCCCTCATCGTGGTCAGCAGTGTTCACCTGGCTGGGCCAGATGAAGACTTTATGGACCGGGCCGGTCACGTGGGGCTCCTCGACCTTGCTCAGGGTGATAGAGTTCTGTCACCAGCTGCTACTGTTCCCATTCCATCCTGGAGATATCACAGCGGAAAATACTGACGAGTTCAGGAGATTGTAACAATCGAAATAACCATTGCAGCTCCTTTTGAGGCCACAGGAGCGACTGGACGATCATATTTACTCACTTGATGAAACGTAAACACTAAAATATGTTGGACTTTTCTGTGTTTCAATAAAATGCAACTACAAAAAAAAGATAGATAGATAGATAGATAGATAGATAGATAGATAGATAGATAGA